AATTATATAGAAAATAGGAGTGTCATTGGTAAGGAGTAAGAGTATTATTAACCTCCCCTTGATTAAACCAAAGCAAACCAATTGAGGCCCTCATTTCAATTTCTTCTTCTAAGAACATATGCATATTAAAAATTTTAAGTAAATTATGTTTTTCATTCCTATGGTTTGAAAATTACAATTTTTGTTCTTATTATTTGTAATKCTTTRTTATTTTGGTCCATAAACCTATCTTTTCCTTTAAKTTACAAGGACAAAAAAARCAAAAAATTGTAAACCACATGGATTAAAACAACATTAAATTATAAAGACGACAATAGCAATAAATTGCAATTCATAGGGACAAAAATCATTATTTCTAAATCACAAGGACGAAAATTGTAATTTACTCTAAACTTATTTATGTTATGCAAGTATTATACAATAATAACAAGTGTGAATTTATTGAAATATTAAGACAATATAGTTATAAAAAAAAGTTATTGTATTTTTCTCAATGAAATATTTGGATAACTTTTTTTTGTTAATTGTGTATCTATATTCTCATATTCATATCAATTACATATTCTACATGAATTGACAATTAAGAACAAAAACAAGGAGAGGATCATTTGAAGAAGAAATTGTTCACATGTCAATTGATATTACTAACTTATGATCATAAATTTAAGGTGTTTGTAGTAATGSAGCTTGGCCAAATACAATTTACCTGAAAAAACCCAAAGAAATTTGACCGGTTTGGCTCTCCATTACCCGGGCGACAAGGTTTACAGTTTGAAGTGTTAGACCGGAGGTTTGGAAAAATAAAAAACAAACCATTCGTAGATATTTTTCTATTTTCATGTATATTTTGTAACATAACTCTTCAAGAGGGTTGATAAGTTAAGGATAAAATTCGAAACCCACACCCTTCATTCTTTTTCTTCTCTATTTTTTAYCCCTTTTTTCTTATAACCATGAGTGTACAGAACTGATTGAAAGAATCTTGAATAATCTCATGAAACCTTGAGATTAGCAACAAAACAAACCCTCCGGCAGCCCTAGGAAGACTTGAAATTGAGTAAGAAAAGCAAACTCAAAAGCTAAGAGCATCTCCAACATATTCTCTAAAATATAGACAAGGGGAATTTGTTATCTATATCATTCTCTAAACTAGAGAAAACATGAAAAACTCTTAAGTTTAGAGAATTATCAAAAAGTTGATGTTAATTGGTTCCCACAATCTCACATCTCACTAATGAGATTGAATTATTAWTATTTTATATAAAAAAATTAAAATGTATTGGGATGATAGAATTAAAAAATATTATAATAATATAATTAAYGTCGAAATCTTTAAAACTAGAGAATCTATTTGAATTGAATGTACAGGAAGACTCATGTTTCTGCTGGTATTTTGGATGGAGGGTTTAGGGTCAATAATGAAATTAATTAGCGTTAAACTTCAATKACAAAAGCAAACTACTAGAGGGAGGGATTAATATACAGATAAAGAAAGAAGCAAAGAACATAGTTTATAAATTCTCCCCTCTTATAACACACACACATACACACACACGAAACATCAAACATCTCTTACCTTAAGCATCAAGACTTCAGTGTAGGATGGTGCATCATCCTTCTTTGGGCTCGAGACTGCCGAACTGAACTTGCGCACCAACACCTTGAAACACGGTACAAGTATAAGGTATAGTAAACCCATGATAAAGGGGGCCATCACCAACCAACCCAACATCTGCACGCATTGTCAACCAGTTACTTAATTATGCATTTCAAGGGAATAAGGTGGTTATTCACGTTGAACCTACCGCACGAACGACGCTTAGCAAGATCTCCTTTGAACCTTTGCCCGTCAATACCTTCTTTAAAGCATCAGAGGTTAAAGGAAAATGAGCTCCACCCGTAAGAAACTCACCAAATCGTAAGAACACTATCATCAAACTATATTGGTAGACAGACATATATCAGAACAACAATCTATCAATTGATGTTGCTGTATGACTACTTCCTCTGTCCCATGTAATTTGCAACATTTCCTTTTTAAAGAAAACATATCATGTTGATTTATCCACGAGCTCATTATCATGATTAAGATTAAACCAAACCAAATGTATAGCAACTATGTTTCAACTCTCCTCTTAAATGGGATCCATGTGTTGCAGATTACATAAGACGTCTTCCAAACAGCTTTGACAAAAGACATGATCACCCTTTAGTAGGACACTCTTTTGAGTACGAGCGGATAACCCATCGCCACATGTAATAAGTTTGACCCACAAATATTGGAAGATGAGTTGTAGACAAACAACGTCCCCTTTTCTTGACTAATTTTGACAAAGATTAAATTGAGCCTAAGGAATAATATCAAGGGGAAGATTAGAAAAAGAAACCAAACAAGCTACATAAAGTCTTAGTTGCAAATACTTGAAAAGTTCTCATGTTCAAATTACTTATTTTTCCCGTTATCATTATATTCATAGTATTGATTTTGGTTTAATGAAGGGGTATCTTAGATATTTGATGAATAATCAAATAAGTTAATTAAACTATTAGTCAAGAGAAACCTAGAAATTTTCCTCTTTTAAGATTAAGAGCATGTCCACTAGAAGCCAAACAACTAAAAGAGGCCAAATACCTCATCAATTATATTATGTAAAGTGTCAATGGTATATATATATATATATAGAAAGAGACTTGAAGATCATGAGAAATTTTCATTTTCATGAGAAGCTTGAGAAATAGTGAAGGTACCCTTGTATTGTGTGAATGTTACTTTATATTTTGGAAGATAGTAACCTTCACATGGACCTGAAATGTGTATTCAAAAKTTACTGTGAAGGTGGTAACATCCACATTCACAGGTTTTACATGAAGTTTACATTATATTATGTTAGCGTTTACATTTCTCACACTTCTCACGAACATTGGTATTTTTCATGKTAACCGAACCCAACCCAATGTTGGTAGTTGGTAGTATGCAGTAATAGGTTTAAGCATGAGAGGAGTCCATGRTTTGAGTAGGTGTATGTGTAACCTTTGTAGACAAGAGTCAACATAATCACTAAAGAGGAAAACCATAAACTTGAAGCGGGCAGTAAGAAAGAAGGAAAATAGMGAAATGTGGTCAACATAAAACAATAATATTTGACCTTATCTCTATTGGAGTAGCAACAAAGTTGGCCAGCATCACAGCTGGAGCATTGACAGAAGATCCAAGCACTGCTATAGCCAGCAGACAGAGAAAAAAGGTCACTCCTGTTGTGAAAAAAACACACCATGTTACCCAGGATGCCATAYGTACACAAAAGCAAGATGAGATTAGCATGTTTATGTCCGTAGTAGCACACTAAATGTTCTTTTCCCTTACAAACAGTATGAACTTGTCCTATTCTACCTCCAAACTATAAGTTTCTTTTGATTACATGAGAGGAAATCGAAATACTCAATCATGCTTTACCTTCTATCCATCTTCCTTTTAAACTATCAAACAGTACGATGATTACTACAGGGACACCAGTTCTGTTAACTTGAACATTCTCAATTCAGTCTTTCCAATGCCCCTTATATATAATAGATATATATATATATATATATATCTTTCCAGATAACCTATAATTAATAAGTAAAACTACCAAACATATGAATTGCTCTCTGTGGATTTCTATTAGGAACATGGTGCTTCTAGAACAATTGGAATGAGGTTGTTTATAACCACCACACATGCTTGTCTCCCATACCATACTTTAAGTGAGATAGCTATCCAGAATATTCATAGTCAACTGAGTGGCCTTCTCGCTACAGCCAGAATTAAGCTCCCTAGTAGTGTCAGTAAGTAACCACATTAATGACTCTCRTTCTTCTCACTTGAGAATAAATAGATATCTATCACATTCTACACAAGACAATATCATGAGCAAGCTGCTTGAGTTGAACCACCATTAATCCCTCTCTCACTCATGGCGAAAGCTAAGATCTTGCTCGAAGAGACTCCTTGTGTTATAGTTGTAATCTATCCTAACCTTTTGGCAGGGATAGGTCAACAGGAGTGTGTCTAAATCCATTAGTGCTTTCAAAATCGTTCATCTGATGTTTGGGATCCTTGTTTGGAAAAACCATTCTTGGTTTTCCGTACTTTATCGCCTTTGTTGATGATTATCGTCAGGCTACATTGCTTTACTTGCTTAAATCTCTGGTCAATTTTTTTTTCAATTTCTGTGAAATTTTACATGTATGTTCAAAATCAATTTGGGGTCAAAACTAAAACCCTAGGAGGTGATATGCAGAGTCTTTTTCAAATGATATTGCGGAA